CTGCGGTGCCACCAAACTCAGCCACGACGAAATTGACCACAAAAACGTGGGATACCACTGCCACCAAAGGTCAACTTCTTCGTGGCCGAGTTTGGTGGCACCACAGTGGTACCCCCACGGCTGTGCGGTCAACTTCTTCGTGGCCGAGTTTGGGAGTTTGAGATTAAAATGGTGGCAGGGACAGGTGAGGTATGCAAGACGTTCCTTTTACGGCGACCTCCCTGTCCAAGTGCCCTAAATCCTATTCTCACAGATGTGCTTTGCTGCCATAAAGGAAGACGGATCTGTGGTAACCTGGGGTCAGTCGCCTTTTGTGGAGACAATAGCAGCGTACAGAAGCAGCATTGTCCCAGCACCATGGAACATGATCACCAGCTCTTCTTGCCTCCGCCAAGGATAACGCCCCTTCGTCCGTCTTGTCCGTTGTTGCTAATGTTGGTTGCCGTTGTGTGTGTTGATGTTTTGGACTGGCACCTTCAGCCTTCGAGCCGGAGGTGACGTCCTTTGTTAGGCCAGGCTACTGCCTCGATCAATTCTCCGGTCCACTCCATTCCATTCCGTATAATGCTTCTGAATTACCTGACAGTCATAGAAGAAAGCAAACCCACCAAAACACAAGATGATCTGCTGACTTCTCAAACATGCAGGTCTTGATGCTTCAAAGTGACAGTCACTTACCAGAATGCTGGCAACTGTGGGACTTTATACTAATGCCATACCATTAGGGGGGGGCTGGCCAGCACTGCGCCATAGATGCGGTTTACAGCCCCACACGACATCCAGCATTTTGTCCCCGTTAATGCAGTACAATCATTCACAAAAGGCTAGCTAAAACCCACAGAGCCAAGGATACACCGTGTACATGGTCGGTTCCTGTGCGGCACCCTACGTTTCAAACATCATCCCACTGTGGATGGCATTATGGCTGCAGCAGAAGAGGGCCTGAGGGCAACGCTAAACCGAGTTCATGTCACTCCCCAGCCAAAAAAAATCACAACCGGAGCAGAGAGCGGAATGCTTGGCACATCACACTGCAACATACTGCAACCCAATGTTGTGGTGATCACCTTGCAGCGTCCTTCTGCAAGAAAGGAAACAACTGGGCAGATTACATAGAATCAGCATGAACAGGAATCAGGCCAACAAATCCGACATGTGAAGAGCCTCTTCAGCGAACGGAGGTCGGAGCTTTTGTTTTGTTGTCTTTCCAATGCTCCAGCCCAAGCTGGGTTTTCGAAGCCTACCAGCTCCCCCTGTGATCCCTTGCATTGATCACTTTCCGATTTACACGCAAGTTCTCGGACAAAATTTCGATCCATGGAATCCATGGCTGTCAAATCTAAAGTGCCAAACTCTAAATCCTGCTGCCTCCCTTAGGACTCAAACACATGCGAGGGCCTTGCCAAAAAAAGGCGCAGATTCGGAACGGGCTGGCCGGCTATGCCCTCTTCGCGTGGACCTTGCGATTGCTCATGGACAGGGAAGTGCGTTGACATACGAGATGGTGATGGGTCAGTTTTACGTTTTACGTGGAGTCCTGATAAGACTGGCCATTGCCTCTTGCATGAGCCTGAGGCGCGCAGTCAGACATGGACTGATTGCTGCTGTAGGCATCTAGTTGGTTGCCTCCTCAGGCAAGGTGTACAGACGATCACATCGCAATATCTCATGCTTTCAAAATCCATGACTGGCAGGATGCAGCCATTACTGGCGTTACTGGCATTTGTGCAGTCCGCTTGTCTCTGGAGCTCTGGAAATTGGGCGTGTGCCTACAGAAGTGCCTCGGCCACATCCTCGTCATCGTACTTCCGGGGTTCACGGAACATAGAATCGCAAAGAGATCCTCCATAGATATAAGAGATTTATTCTTCCTCTGCGGGATCCGTATCTCTCGGATCACGGGTCGCCTCAAGAGTCTACACAATGTGATGCATGCCTAGTCTGAGCCGTCAAGGTACAGAGCCTTCCGGTCCCGCATGCTAACTGTGGCTTTCCTCGTGCCAGTTGAGCTGGCATTGGTAAGCCTTTGCTGGTTGTCCTTTGCTTTCTGCCGGGCCATCACGAGCGACACGAGCCTGCTACCAGCCCTGCCCTTTCTGGCCGACGTGGTGGCCACCCTCTACCTGTTTCGGCCATGTCGGAGAGATCTGCCCGGCATGGATCCCGTGCCCGGCCAAGCAAAGCGCTCCTCCACTTGCAGTGCCAGCTCAACCTTTGGAATTTAAAGTAAGCTGATTTTGTCGACCGAGATGTCAGGTTTCGGAGGCAACATCCAAAAACCAATGAAGGTCCGCATGCTGCACGGGCTGCATGCTGGCTGATTTTCACCCGCAGCCCTTGTACAGATGTGGGAGCTTTGGCCCAAATCCGAAGCTGGCCACAGCGTCAAGCTGCTCATGGTGTGGTTCCACCCACGCCTTAAGTTCGCTCCCCTTAAGTTATTCGCTCCTCTTACATGTTTGGCAACACAATTAAACTGTAGACTGATTATTTCCTGCCTCTCGTCTCCGTTTAGTGGCAAGCAGCAGCTTCTAGATGTAAACCTATGGGTAGCACGCTGCATGGCTTTATGTGCAAAGGCAATGCGCAATAATTTTCGAAGTCTCCTGTGGGCCTTCGCCGGTTTAAGCCGTTCACGATTTGCTCATGGATCAATCTCACGTTGAAAATGCTTTGCATGCTTTGCAGCATAGGGCGCCCGAGCAGCACAAACTCTGACGTGAGAGCCACCACTGCAGCTGCACCTCATCATGCCCTTGGATATGCATGTGTCGCGACATGTCACGACATTATGTCAGATGTCACACTTAATAGAAGCCTCAAATCTGGTCAACTATGCCCCCTGGAGTCAAGATCCCAAGATAAAAGATCCCTGATTCTGGAAAATGCCAATCATCCATGTTGTGTTTCTCTGGCAGAAATGAGGCCCATGGAGCCTGCAGACCTCAAGGCCCAGAAATCCAGGCATCAGCCTTTACTCAAACCCACACATTCAAACCAAGCTTGAAGACAAAGGGGCAACACGGCAGCACGCCAGGAAACTAGTTGCCGTGAGGGTGGAAGCGCCGTTTCAGACACTTGCAAGGCTGCTGGGCAGCTAGGCAGTACAGCTCTGGCAGATGGCTTCACCGCTTCACCATGTTACCGGTTGTACATGTCGTACCGATCAGAGCGGCAAACAGACAATATTCTGCATTCCGTTTAGTAGAAGGATAGCATCATCTGTACGCAGTATGCTTAGGGTCTTCGAGTTCACGGTCTTGGTCGTCTTTATCTGTGTATTGACGGCCCGCTGTGAGTTAGCATTAGGGAGGGTACTAAGTCATGCTGGTCGTACAGCATGCAAGAAGGGATGCATCCAAATAATAGGAGATGTCCATGAAGGCCCGTCATCTTGCGGTGCAAGCTGATGCCATGGCGAACCACGTGTGAGTTTTATGAGAAAGAAGCTGGTGAAGCAGACATTTGTGTGGCTGATCTTTCAGCTTAAGGCCCTGACCGCTTTTTCTGCACCTTCGAGCCTGGAAACTACAAGTGCCCTAGATGATTGCCAAGCATCTTGGGCTTCAGACCTTAACAAAGCCGAGCTGTTGGTGGAAAGCGTGTTTCTCCAAGTGCGCGTGGACACGCAGGCGCACCAGGTGCCTCAGACTGCAGACCCAAAACCTACAGATCTATTGGTCAATGCCGTCCGACACTTCTTCAACATTAAAGCGGTGACCGATGGCAGTGGAGCTCGTGAAAAGATCCAGGCGCCAGTGCATGAACGTTTGGCATTTTCTAAGATGGTATAGAATCCTGTGCCCGTATTTTGGGCCCTTAGGCCTTTTAGTGGGATTCTAGGGACCCTGAAGGGTAAAGGTAAAGGGTATAACAAATGTTTGCTTGGCCTGCCTATCTTGATGTAAATGATGTGGCGGACGGCACATGCTGTTTGCTAGAGTGCTGAGCGCTTGCTGATGTGAGTGAGTGCCCTGACCTGCTTAGTGTTGGATGCTGCAGGGCTTGCAAAAATATAGGTATTTAAGGATCCCAGGATTAAGCGCCCATACCAGGGGCCCATGGTTTCAAAATTAGACATTTTGACACTTCCAACAATGGAAATGCCTTAGCATGATGAAGAATAAATAGCTTAGCACAATTTGGTAGCGTATGAATACAGCGTGGCATGGTAGCCTATCCCGTTGCATAGTGTATTGAAATGCTGCACAGAAGATATGCAAGGCTTTACGCTCCCATGTTCGATAGAAGTCAGCAAACTTGAGTCAGGCGTGTGAACGATACATTTCGTTTCTCACAGCTGGGGCGAGCAGTAACCTACCAAGTGTGCTATTTCACGGCTTTCGCTTCACAGTGGTTGGCGTGGGTTTGGTTTTGTCAGGTTAGGCAACGCCACACGCCCTGGCCCCGCCATGAACGGCCACATTCCCTGCATGCTGTAACAAACGCTGGAAACTAGTGTGAGAAAAGCATAATAAAGTCGAACACATTGTGGAATACGTTGTTGTAAGCGCTTGCTGCCGCTGGTTTTGGTCAGAGAGCCGGAAGTGCCTGCTGCGATACGGATATCTTGAAACCCGAGTTGCACACTACACCTCTGGCACACACCGTCTTAAACTTCACGCAGTATAGCATAGTAACAGCATATCACAACACCGCATCTTGCAGACACTTCGTCTATTGCCTTTCATGCTAGGAATATTGTGTTCTTTTCTTGTTGAATGCAGGTGTCTGCATTGCTCCGCGCGCTCGAAAAGATCAGCGTCTATCTTATTGGCATGTCTTACGTCCTCGGGCAATTGTACAGAGCAGGGTTTGGGTTGTTTTAACTGCTTTCTGCGTCATTATGAGGCCTACTGTTGTTGCAAGACGACTACTGCGGTCATGGCTGTCTGTTGGTCTGTAGCCTAAGCATTCTCCGCAAGTAGTCGAGTATTTTATTCATGAAGGATGACTTCCTCGAGCCCAGAATTCCAGGTTCTCCTGCAGAGCTTGACACTTCAATATCAAGCCCCAAGGGCTGAAACTGTTTCGAAGCTTGGGCCGAAGCTTTCCCACTCATAGCATACTTTTCGGGTTTCGGGTTTAAGTATATTTTTAGATTAGGATATCTTATCGTTGTCCACTAGTATAGGCCAGGCTGGTATCCAGCTCGTATGGTGGCTGCTACATCTCCATTTCGCACGATGATGAGATGCCTTTTCACATGTTTAGCTGCTACAACAGGTGCTGCTACCGTTGTGATAACTTGAAGGGGTTGTCACAGTTTCCCCACAGGATTAGAGGTATTCCCCCCAAACCTTGGGCATCCTTAGGCCCTAGAACCGTGAACCCCTGACAAAACACACGTAGTATCTCCCAGGTTGCCGCTGTGGCGGCGGCAGCTTGGTTACTGCTGATGGGCTTACCAAAGAGGAGAGCTTTTTCCGTGCAGGACACTTAGGTCTTACGTAAGGGCTTTGTGCGAAACGACTTACATCGCTAGTTGCTACATTCAACCATGTTTAACCCGAGAAGCCAAGCCCTAAACTCTCCGAACCCCAGGGGCCTAGACCTAGACTCTACACACCCTGTGACAGGCCTCAAGCACCACAAGCCCCAAGCCTGCGTTCTTGGCTCTCCTACGTATGGTTGCGTTCTGAATTCTAAAGACCTATAGTAGGAAGTTGCAGAAGATCAGATAGAGATCTGTGGAGTTTGGGGAATTGCCGAGATTTCTTTAAAATCAATTGTAGAGACCGTATGCTGGTTTATATCTGGTGGATTCTGGGGGGATATCATGGGGGTGGGGGAAGGCGCAGAATGCACAGCGCAGGACCATGTATTCAGGACCTTCTGTCAACCGACAAAACTGAGCTAAAGACGCTAGCAGCTAGCAGCATAGTATGCTGTACAAAAATTACACATCACTATCATTTGTCAGTATACGGCGTGGCATACTCCTGAAAAGACAATGGTGCATCAGTTGTGTAACAAATGTTGTTTGTCTGTATGTACAGTATCTTGGAGGCCAGTCACTGGTTATCACAGACAGTGAACTGCATATTGGAACTGTACGATTTATAGTTTCACGTCGCAACAGAGCTGCACACTCTACATTCAGGCATATGCTGCGGTGCATGAGGTAAGCTACCGTTATGTTCCAGCGACCTTGACCTTCAGGCCGCCCCAGCATCACAACGTCCAGAAGGGTGGCAGCACCAGGCTCGTGGCCTGCAGTTTCTGCCGTAGTTTTGCAAGAGTCTGGCATGGCTGAGGTCTGTTATGCTGCCTTACGGTTTACCTCTCGGATGGAATGGAAATCACCCAAGAACCGGATCCCTCGCAGAAATAAAGCTTCAATCCGAAACCCTGGACTCCACTACTAAACCCCAAGCCAGGGCTAAACACAAGACCCCACTGTAGCCGACCGAGTCTGGTGATTTTTCTCGGCTCGATGTACGCCTTCTGCTACTTCGCCACAGACCAGTACTTGCCAAGCCTCCCGCAGATGGAGGTGGCAGTGCTACAATTTGCTACATGCTCTGGTTCACGGTGGTTTCACGGTGGGGTTTATGCCGCGGCATGCCGCAGTTTACTTTGTTCCTTCTTGTGCTTCACGCATCTTCACGCATCTTCACGCACGTTCGCCGGGAATGTAATTAGCCTAGGCTAATTCGTTGCGTTTAGCAAGGAAGTGAAGGACTAAAATACATCATCAGCCTGTTTGTTTGATTGAGGTGATGCTAGCAAGCAATCTTCTAGAGCTGGCAATTTCCCACGCGGCTTTCGAGATGGTATGCACAAGCAGCTACCGAAGTTTCAGTCGCGCATGAGCTACACCAGTGAAGGAGGCAAACGCAGGATCAACAGCATAATATAAGAGCAGAACATGCCGCCAACAACAGCAGCAACAGCAACAGCAACAACAACACCAACAACACCAACACACCAACAACAACCAAGAACAACCAACAACCAACAACCACAACAAAAACAACAACAACTACTGCTGCTGCTTCTTCTACTACTACTACTACTGATACTACTACTACTACTACTACTACTACGACGAGGTGCGCCTGTTCGTTTACGCGTCATTTCGCTTGCAGGCTCGTTTTCTTCGGGACTTGGAGTCCAAGGTTTTAGGCAAGTATCAGAAGAAGAAGCAAACTTCAGCATCGTGGATGTCAAGCTAGAAGACTTCGAAGGGCCTTTTTCATTGGTGTTTACAGCACTTCTGACC